ACTTTTGATAAAAAAAAAAGATAACATTTGTTAATGTACAAAAAAATTAACAAATATTTAATAATAAAAATTACTAGAACCAAATAATTCAAAATTAAACAAATGAAGAATTAAAATAATAATAATAACAGTTAATGCAGGGAAAGATAATAATAGCAAGTAAACACACAAATCAAATGCCTATATAAAGAAGTGGGGGAGTGAAACTGAAGGTCGAGCAATCCAAGAAAAAAAGATCTGTAAAAAATGGCGGATGATTCAGCAGCCACTCCACCCTCAATCGATGGCAACGTTCTGGTGGCTAAGTCACTAGCTCGTCTCGGAGTCACCCACATGTTCGGCGTCGTTGGCATCCCCGTCACGTCTCTAGCTAGCCGAGCCATGGCTCTCGGCATACGCTTCATCGCCTTCCACAACGAGCAATCCGCCGGATACGCCGCTTCCGCCTACGGTTACCTAACGGGTCGACCCGGGATTCTTCTCACTGTTTCGGGTCCTGGTTGCGTACACGGTCTCGCCGGTCTCTCAAACGCTTGGGCTAACACATGGCCGATGGTGTTGATCTCCGGCTCCTGCGATCAGAGAGATGTCGGTCGTGGAGATTTCCAGGAGCTTGATCAGGTCGAGGCGGTGAAATCTTTCTCGAAATTATCGGAGAAAGCGAAAGATGTTCGTGAAATCCCTAATTGTGTCGCTAGGGTTCTGGATCGTGCCGTTGAAGGTCGACCCGGTGGGTGTTATCTGGATCTCCCGTCGGATGTGTTACGCCAGAAGATTTCCGAATCTGAGGCGGATAATCTTGTGGCGGAGATTGTGGTTTCTCGTAAACAGGAATTGAGTTTGGATTCTCTGAGATCGGAGATTGAATCGGCGGTTTCGTTGCTGAGAAAAGCGGAGAGGCCATTGATTGTGTTTGGCAAAGGTGCGGCGTATTCGAGAGCAGAGGATGAGCTGAAGAAGCTTGTGGAACTCACTGGAATACCTTTCTTACCAACTCCGATGGGTAAAGGTTTGTTACCGGACACACACGAGCTTTCGGCGACGGCGGCGAGGTCGCTTGCTATTGGGAAATGCGACGTTGCTTTGGTGGTTGGAGCTAGGCTTAACTGGCTTCTCCATTTCGGAGAATCGCCGAAATGGTCGAAAGATGTGAAATTTGTATTGGTAGACGTCTCTGAGGAAGAGATTCAGCTGAGGAAACCTCACTTGGGGATTGTTGGAGATGCTAAAACAGTGATTGGATTATTAAACAGAGGGATCAAAGATGATCCTTTTTGTCTCGGGAAATCGGATCCATGGGTCGAATCGATTTCCAAGAAAGCCAAAGAAAATGGTGAAAAGATGGAGATACAGCTTGCTAAAGATGTAGTTCCTTTCAATTTCTTGACTCCAATGAGGATAATAAGAGACGCGATTTTGGCGGTACAAGGACCGAGTCCTGTTGTGGTATCAGAAGGAGCTAATACAATGGATGTGGGAAGATCGGTTTTGGTTCAGAAAGAGTCAAGGACTAGGCTTGATGCAGGAACTTGGGGAACAATGGGTGTTGGTTTAGGTTATTGTATTGCCGCTGCTGTTGCTTCTCCCGATCGGCTTGTAGTCGCGGTTGAAGGTGACTCTGGTTTTGGATTCAGCGCCATGGAAGTTGAGGTAGTGAAACATTATATTATTACCATAATGTGGAATTGTCTTTTGTCTGAATCTTTCTTCAATAAGCATTTTGTCTTTGGATGATGCAGACATTGGTTCGATACAATCTTTCTGTGGTGGTTATTGTCTTCAACAACGGTGGTGTCTATGGTGGTGATCGAAGGAGTCCTGAAGAAATCTGTGGCCCTTATAAAGAAGATCCAGCACCAACATCTTTTGTTCCTAACGCAGGCTATCACAAGCTTATTGAAGCATTTGGAGGCAAAGGTTATATTGTGGAAACACCCGATGAGCTTAAATCCGCTCTCTCTGAATCGTTCGCTGCAAGAAAACCCGCGGTGGTTAATGTGATCATCGATCCTTTTGCTGGTGCCGAGAGTGGGAGATTGCAGCACAAGAACTGAAGAAAGCTTGTGGAGAGTTTTTAATAAAATGTTGAAGATTGTATTGTGAACATAATAAACGATAAGCGTTTTAGTTTCTACTATTGTAAGCGGGTCATTAAACCGGTCCGATTCGAATTTGAACCAAAATTGAATAAAATACGTTTCCGGTTAAACGCTCTTCGTCAAACAAAAACCTAAAAAGCTATAAATTGCGCATGTTAGCCTTTAATGGAGTCTGAGAAGAACACAGACAACAGAACAGAGTTAGCCTCGGACACAACATGAGACCAGGTCTTTAAATTCCTTTCCTCTTGGTAATTCTTCTGTTTTTCGATTGCATACCTGAGATTGATATGAGAACTGGTTTTTTTTTTTTTAATCTTACTTCAGAACTTCCTGGGTTTTATTACGACGAGGAGAAGAACAGATATTTCCCCATTAAAGGACCTATCCCTGGTTTGAAATCTTCTTCTTCCTCAAGAAATAAACGAAAACCCGAACCAGAACCTGTACAGGTCGGTTACTTCAAATTTTGACTTCTTTTGAATTAGTGTAAAGGTCGAGTCTTGCAGAATCAATGAGAGTTCTTTAGAGTATTTTGGATTTTCTTTGTAAATAAGTTATTAGTTTATATGGAAATTTCATCAGGAACGTAATTATCAGAAGAGAACCAAACTAACAGCAGTGAAGCTACTTTATTCCCGAGAGCTAAATGGCAATGTCATCCCTGTCAATAAGAAGAAATCTAACTTCGAGGAGGAGATTCAAAAGACACAAGCTTTTAATCCTGTGGTATTACGACCTATGACTTACCTTTCTGTCTCTAATTAAGATTACATAAGACAGATATGAATCTTTTGTTTTTCCTGTTTGTGTAATGGTAATGATGCTTAGGTATGGAGCTACGGATCAACGGAAAACATTAGCGATGTTGCTTTGAAACACTTGCAAGTTGATATACAAACATCTGTAGGTCTGACCAGAAAGAACATCCTAGTAGCAGGCAGTTCAGGAGGCTTTATAAGGTATGCAAGTTTCTTGAAATATCTGTTTTATCGATGTTCCAAGATTATCCTTTGAAGTTTTTCGGAAGAGATTTATCTTTTCTGTATTCATGGAACTTTGTATGTTATTTTTTTCATACCAACCTATATGCTTTGGAAGTTTGTTCTTGCAGCATACTGAGAGTTGCTGAAGCTGGACAAGCACTCTATGATGAGTCTGAAACTCAAGCTTTAAATGGTGGAATCGAGTGCGTTCCAGTTTCTGTTCTTCCTCGCAAAGGAAACAATGCAGTGGAAAGGGAAGCACATTGGCATTTATGGAGACCTGCACGCTCCCATTTACAGGCATTATCGAGTATATCTTCTATAAAGTTGATTGGAAGTTATGATGCATCTGAAGACTTCCACCGCGCAAACCGGGCATTGTATCCTTTAAATGTGTCTTCTCTTTTGCTTCCTCTCTCGGTCTCCATTTGTAAAACCTTGACATGAGTAAACAGGATAACTACCCTGGGATCAACTGGTCGTGGGTCGGTTTTTTTCTTAAATCTTGCTGAAGAACCGCACATAGTCACTCCGCGAAGCCTCCACGGGAATGTTTCCTCCGAGTGTACGATTTGGACTGCTGATTGCAATATAAATGGGAGTCATGCAGCTATTGGTACCCTCTCTTATCTTCTTACTTTTGGTGTTATATTTTGTCACCTAGGATTTTGCTTCATTACAGTTACAGTTGTGCTTAGAGAGTTGTAATGGTCGAAGGAAATATAGATACGATTACAAAGGCATTTTTCTATAAATGGACTTCGCTGAGTAATTTCAGGAATCATATGGCAGTTATTAAGGGATCTTGGTATGTTATAGGTACCAACCTAGGAGCCGCTTTGGTAGATTTGGAAACAGGAGCAGGTTCATATTTTCTCCGTAGCAAAAGTGACGTTTTTGCGCTACAATTTCATCAATCAGTAAAGTTCTCTTAATTCCAAGCTCCCAGATGCATCTTTATTTAGCGGCTCTTTTCAACTCCTAGTTGCTATCTGTTTGTTCAGTGGTCTCTCTTCAAGATTTCTGAATAGAATTAATTACTTGAAAAAAAAGTTGCTGTCCTGTCTTCGTTTTACTGAGAGACAGATGTATTTATGTTGTTTCTATCTCTTTTTACCAGGGTAACATTGTTCAGTGCGGTCTCAGAAATGGGGCCATTGTGTCAGTTGATCTACGTGAGAGACCTGGGAGACCTGTTCCGAGGCTCACTAGACACCAGATACGATGTCAGTCATCGAGTATAACCGGTCAAACTACTACAAAGAAAGAAATTTTTGAGGTATTTTATTTTCCTTAGGGATTTGCAGCTAGCTAAGATCATTATAAATCTTTGTTGTGGTCACTACTTTTCATGTCTTTCCAGCGCTTTCCTTGCAATATTTTGCTGATACTGTTCTCTAATTTGCCTTTTGCAGCTCAAAGGAAACATAAACCCGTCTCATGTAATCTATATGCCTTCATCTCTTACGTGGTTGGTAGCTGACTAAATCCATATATGAGAATTCTTTATTACTTTTTGTTTTCCTGACTCTAGATTTCGCTCCTTCCTTCTCTAGCCTGAAGACACTTAAAACTTATGATCAGTACTTAATGGCAAGCTCCATGGATGGAACAGTGAGTACCCCTACTAGCTCTAGCTTCTGCATATTCCAGAGCATTTCGATCAGTATCTAAAGAGCCAAACTTTTTATGTTTCTAGATGAAGCTATACGATCAACGCATGGTTAAGAGAGGGGTCGCTGTACAGACATATGAAGGACATGTAAACTCTCATAGTCGCATTGAATTTGGTATCGACCCATCAGAAAGATTTCTTATGTCAGGTAAATAAAAGGAACCCTTTGTTCTGAAAGGATAACTGCTATGGTAGATCTTGGAAAAGCATCAAGAGTTTAATTTCAGTGAGATGGTTTGAGTTTCTTTTGTCTATGGCTGTTTGATTCAGGAGGAGATGACTGTTATACGCGCATTTGGAGTATCAAATCTGGTCAACTTCTGTCCCAGAACAAATTCTCCAACTCTGTCACTTCAGTTGTGTGTTGGTCTGCGGCTGAAAGTACTTACACACTGATCCATCTCCTGCTTATTGACTTTTGTTTTCTTTGGTGGAAATTGAAACTCATAATGTTTGATTTTCAGGGAAAAGAGACTGGAAAGATAGCATTGCTAACGGGGCATGGCTTGGATCACGCGACGCGATATTCAACGTGCTTTAGATGTTCACAGTTAAGCTAGACATTCATATGTATTAGATACAAAAGAGCCACCATCTTGGGATAGAAGTTCTTTTTCGGGTGGCCTTGTAACAGTAATAGGATTAGTTGCTTTGAAATTGTAAAGAAGACTGAAATAATTTTGTTGTGTTTTGATCTTTCTTCCATCTTCAATGGTAATGAGTTTTGAAAAAAATAAATCTTCAATCAATATACTAGACATAGAACAGACGATCATATGACCAGAATAAGATCAGGAGATGGAGCAGGAATCAGATAACATTCGGACATAAGTAAATGCAATGCTCTTTGGAATCACCAACTCAAAAACTGATAATCCTGCAACTGTAGTCTCTAAGGATTCACAAGGATAATCAAGAAAATGACATGTATTCTCATATGATTATAGCTTCCTCAATGAGACGAACGTGGATATATAAATATTAAGCTTCTTACCTTTAACTATACATTGCAAAAAAGTGCCAGTGTAAGAGTCTTTGTATCATAGTTGCTGCAAAGATGAATCAATTGTAACTCGAGGTTTCATCGGTTATCGCCGTTCTGAATATGAGAAAGCAAATCCTCCACAGACATGTGGAACAACTATTCATCCTTCAATTAGACTTTGCAGAAACAGCTCTTCCCCAAATATTCTGACAAAAACGCTTCTTTAGCCTTGAGGCGCCAGTCCCTCTCAAGCTTTGGTTTCATCCTAAGGAACTTTGTTGAAGAACTTAGTTATTGTAGCTTGCTTTGGGCCTGCGGAATCTAGCTTAGAACAAGCTTTTCCTTTCTTCTTTGGTTTACCTTTGTTGATCTTTCTATTCTTTTTCACAGGAGAAACGCTGCTCTTCTGGGAACTACTCAGGCTCTTGAGCTTGTGAAACTGCAATGATCGACAACTTTCATTCCGCTCGGTGTCACAGTGCATATTCTCCAGTTTCGAAACAAGCCCTTCTTCGGTACCCACCGAACTAATCCCATCTCTACAAGCGAAAGATATAACAGCAGAGATTTGCTCGTAGAATTTAGTCTCGTGTTCGTAGAAATTATCAACTATTTCAACTGTATCCTTCCATGTCCCTTTAATCATATCAGTCACTTGTTCTTGTGTAACCCATTTGGGCAAACAATACCTAAGCTCTTCCACAATCTCTTCCTTACCACAAGTCAGATCCAATGAAACATTCTCATCCATAGGCTTGTCAGAAATATTCTCATCCCCCATCTCAGATTCCTTACAACCTTTGCTTGAAACCAACATTTTACTTTGTCATGATCTGAAACACTCAAAAAGAACACAATTTTTCACTTTACAAACTCATGATTCTCAAAACTGTTCCATCAAAACTATCCTAAGAGCTTAGATTCCTATCACGACTATTACAAAACAAAACCGATCGAGCAAGATTCTGAATCATAAATGCGAGAAGAAATTACCCATCTCTCTTCCTAAAACCCTAGATCGTCAACGATGTTCTTTCCTTCCATACAAGAAAAACAGAAAAAAAATCGAACCTTGGAATGGGAAAATTGTATGGATGGTGATACAATTGAAATCTCCGGCGAATAACTTCGTCTTTGGTCTGGCAATCAGAGGATATATATAAGGCACCCGACGATACAGAGACGAAAGGCGATGGTCGGCGACGGCGTCGTGTCGAGGAGACCAATGCGCACGTTAGTGTTGGGGAAAAAATATTAAATACGTGGTAAAAACACCAAATAATAT